TAATTTTTAAAGAATTTGGGGTTTTGAGATTAATTGTTATAGAGGGGAAAAATAAATGGGGAAAACATAAACACACATCATTATTCTTTATCAACATTCATACATGGATGACCATATTTTTGCAGTTAGGGAATAGCTATTAACTATTTTCGCTAATTATTTAAACAATGCGTTTGAACAATTATTCATTATTGTATATTGACCATTCGCGATAAGGTTTTGTTTGAATAGTTAAGGTATTTTTTAATAATTTTTGTGCATCTTAAGATTACTCTCTTTAATCAATTTTAAAGCAGCATCCTCAACATCCTCACATCACCTCAATGCATTTAAAGAAATTAATTTTATATTTACTATTAGTAATCAATTAGTTAATTTTAAACCACTAAGCCAACAACCAGATCAATTAAATAATCATCCTTCGTTGTGGTGGCACAAAGCCACAAAGTGATATATCGTCTGGCAAAACTATAGTTATAATACCACATAAAATTGTAAACTTGTAATTATAATGTATCATTATATGAATTAATGACATATATAATATTATAGGTAGGACATTAAAAAAAAAAGTCAATCATATGATAACATATTGTTTTTTTTTTTTTAATCAGCAAAAATGATTTATTAGTGAGGTACAAGGGATATCTCAAACCCATTACATTAAGAAGTATCAATACATCAGCCTCAATCCTCAAAATATATATAACACAAGCAAATCCACTTCTTGGTCTATGAGATAGTTGCTGCACAGTGTATAGGATTATGTTTCCACTCATAATATGAATATGAAAAGCCCTTAACCCTTCCTTTAAAGCCACAAGAATGATTTAATTTGGATGTTCTTGAATATTACTTCCACTGAAACATCTTGGTCTTTAAAAATAAGATTATTGCGTGCGTGCATTCCATAAAGACCATGCTATAACCATAAACATAAATGACCAAACCCTCCTTGTTCTATTATTGCCCATTCCAACAATAATTTGCCTATAAGCATCCTGGACATTATTAGGTAGCATGGTAGAAAATCCCCACCATTCTAGACATTTCATCCACACCTGATACGCGAACCTACAATTAAGCATGTAGTGCCTCACATCCTCTGCCTCCTCCTTGCATCTTTCACAAAGGTTGTGTCTAACTCCCACTCTAATGCCTCTTTGATCTAGATTGCTTTTAGTTGGGAGTCTATCCAAAAAAAATCTCCAA